GATATTGGTTGATAGATTGTCCATAAATATATAATATAAAAGCTCATTGGAATTCCAACACGATCCATAGATAGTTTGAAACTAAAATGAAACCTCACAATCACACATAAATGGTGCAAAGATATCCTCTATGAATAACATGCCAGTAATAAAAAAGAAATGGATTTATCAAAAAACAGAAATGAAGAGTTCTTGATTCAAGTTAATCATATGCTAACAACTCAACTAAAAGGAGACCATCAAACTTGAGAACAAATGACAAAATTAGAGTTACATCCAATATACTAATAGACTCGATCAAAGTAACGAGGCACAAAATTAGACACTCCTTATCTACAGGTTCCAGTAGTTTGAATAGTGAATCGACCTTAACTTTAGTAAATCAATCAAGGGTTAATACCTTATTTTGGCCTGAACTATGACCATATAATCAACTTTGGCTCGTTGTTTCAGAAATTAACATCGTGGCCTCAACTATGTAACATATAGACTCAATTGGCCCGACACCTAGTTTGACCGTCAATTTGGATGGTCAACACCATTGACCGTTAGTCAACACGCCATGTCATTGCCTCGTCAGCCTAAAAATCATTCAAAAATTCAAATTCAAACTATTTTTTTATTTTTTATCATTTATAATCAAATTAACAAAAAATAATTTATAAAAAACATTTTTTATTTTTTTATTTTTTTGTGTAATTTGAAAATGATAAATTTTATAAATTAACCAAAAATTATCAAATTATTTTATATAATTAACATTACCGAAAAATAAAATGTATAATTTATATAATATTTTTTAAATTTATAAAATTTAATTTGATAATTATTGGTTAATTTATAAAATTTATCATTTTCAAATATCCTAAAAATAAAATATAAATTTTATTTTTTGATTAATTTGAAAACGATAAATAATAGAAATTAGGAAAATCATTTGAATTTAATTTTTTTAATAATGTTTTGGTTGACGAGGCAATGACATGACATGTTGACTAACGGTCAACGGTGTTGACCATCCAAATTGACGATCAAACCATGTGTCGGGCCAATTGAGTTTATATGCTGCATAGTTGAGGTCAGGATGTTAATTTCTGAAACCACAGACCAAAGTTGATTATATGGTCATAGTTCGGGCCAAAATAAGATATTAACCCATCAATCAATGATTTCTCGTTTTAACATAAACATAGGTTGTGGTAGTTGCAACAACCATAACACCTAAAGATCCAATAGTTTCCACTCTCCGTTGTTCAACCAACTTTTTATCCCCTCCATCTTCAATCTCTCGACGTATATGTTTTAAACCAAAATTCAATTTCTAATCCTCCTTCTGCAACTCCATTTATGCTACTTTGATGGACCTTCTCTCAATGAACCTGGATTTCTCTTTCAATTGAGTTTCTTATCAGCTTGATGTCCAACTCCTCAATCCTCTTTCTTGTATTTGGCCTACTCATCTTCCTCGGGGCAGTTTTAATAAGCTTGTAAAACCAACAATCATCTTCAATTCCATCAACATGCTCTTCTCCTCCTTCTCTGCCTTCACCTGATCCGGTTCACTTCCATGTCCTTCAATACCCTCTCCATTTCATTAATATCCTGATCATCTACCACTTCTCTCTCTTCAACTGCTCCGATTTTGCTTCTATGTCTTTCAATACCCTCCTTGATTCAATCACTACCCTGACCAATTGCCTCTTCACTGGCCACTGCCTTCACTCGCTGCAAACTACTTCCATGACTTTCTATACACCTTCCTCAAAATCACAATCAACTAACCAATATCAATTCATGGCCTTGGATCAGTTTTAAACTCTTTATGAACATCTCAATACCACAAAGTCTAAATCCACTCCTTCTAAGTTGGAATTCCCATCCCCCAAGTTCATTTGATCCCACATAACCATGATATTATACCTCTAACTAAAATAAATCAAAGCATTTAACGAAAAGAAACCGAACCATGAACTTTACCTACTACCAAATCCAAACACAATTTCTTCCTCTCACCATTTCCCTTCCCAAACCCAATATCAACTTTTACTCCAAGTTCACACCCCCAACTCCCAGTGTGTTGTGTGAAAGCTTAATTTTAGCAATCATTACGCTTGCAATTATATTAATGGACACCGGTAAGCGCCAAAATTCCACCAGAGGATGAGTCGTCTTTACTTTGAGTTTTGTCATAAAAATGCTGGCCCGATATGTTTATCAGTTTGAAGGCAATATGATGAGCAATACCGAATCAATTGCAGCGAAGTTACCGGTTACAGTAATAACAATGTAAAACATGTGTTAACAAAACGCTAATATGAGTTACTTTTGTGGATTGACATTAGAATGATGGGATTTGATAATGAGATCGTCCTTAGTTAAGCAACAAGTAAATTGGTTCATTTGGTATGGAGGACACAAACCGTTAAAATTCTAAATTATTTGGGTGAGTTTGTATTTAGTGTTTTCAAAATCGTGGTATATGAGTTAGGTGATTAAAATATCTAAACCCAAACAAACCGACCCAAGTACACCCCTAGGAAGAGTTTCAAAACTTAGTATTTATTCGGACAAAAATGTTCAGAGAACCAGTCCCCTATAGTTTGCACAAAGATATGATTGCTTCACTATAGTTCTAGAAATTAATGGTATTTTGTGGATATTTTTACGCCAAATCAAGACTTTGATGTATTTTGTAAATACTGAAATTGAGATGGAGAAGTCGATAAAGAGGGGTATTAAATAAATTTTTATTTATATACAAAATAGTGTGAAGAGATTGGAAAGGATTAGGGAGAAACGAGGTGGATACTCTAATGAGGACAATCAATTCATTTTACATTATGTAACTATCTAAAAAAGTGAGGATTTAATATTTAATTATTTTTAATTTTTATGTAATCTGTTCACTAAAAAGTAGGTTTAACCTTGCACGAAAAGTTTGTTTTACCTATTTTGAGAATTGTTGTTCATTTAGATTGGTTCAATTGTAAAATAGTAACATATTGTATCGAAGAAAGTCTGTGACAGGATATTTTGTGTTAAATCACTTTTCAAAATTTTCATACTACTAAAACTCCCTACCGACTTGAGCTCTGATAGGCTATTTTACAGGTCAGACCGCCGATACGATACAATTTTGCAAATACCGATTAAATTTTAAGATATGGTAATCAGATAACCATATTTTCATATAATAGAAATCGTTACTAAACATGATTTTTGTTTTCAAGTAAAGCCTACAAAATACTCAGCTAAATAGGAATTCTTTTTTCGAGGAAAATGGTAGTTACCTTTCGTTCAGGTTTTGCTTTTCAATGTCTAGAATAACAAAAAACATAATGGTTACTAAATGAGACCCTTTCCCTATTATCGAGTTTCGTCATCCCCGTTCTCTTGACCCATAAGTTCATTCCTTTACTCTTCCCCTTCCATTCCATCGAATTTGAGTCTCCCTGTGATATCTACCCTTCTTCATAAACCCAATAACGGGAGTTTGGTAAGGGGACTCAGCAAGCTACCACGAGAAAGAATATCTCTACCATAGTCTATAGGAATGCACTATCTTTTGTCGTTCAGTCAAAATTGTCTTTCTAACTCCTAAATTCATTCTGCATTTTAGGTAAGATTAATTGGAAGAACATGTGTAATTTTCTTTTTAGCTCTATAAGAAGTTACAGATCATGCCTATTGATATCCCAACTTTTAGAAGTGCTTTTGGGCTTCAAAAGCCGCAACATGGCCAAACACCTCTAACAGCTCGACTTTTTGAAAAGCTGAAAAATGCTTTTATATAACATAAAAGCATAAACTCCGATTTGGAGTTTCTGCGAAAAGCTGCTTTGAAAGTAGAAGTTTATCCTTACCATATTTTAATTTTATTTCAAAAAATATAATTTCTCTTTCATTTCTATCATTTTAAAAATAAAAAAAATTATTTAAAATAAAAGAAGTCTAACAAGATTCATTTTGACTACTTTTTAATTTTTAGAATTTTTGTTCATTTTTTATATGAGAAATCCTTTTTAGTAATTTTACATGACCTCTTACATTAAAGAAACGGTTAATAGTTTTTAAGCGAACACTCAACTATTATTTTTTAAAATTATTTCTCTAAAACTCAAGACATAAGCTATTTATACAAAAACCACAGCGGGGCAAAACTAGCCCCATATTCCAAATTGATTTTTGGGGGTTAGGCATGTAACACTTAAATATTGAGATGAATCTCTGGTACGGGAAGAGTCTAACACCTTCACCTATTGTGGGAAGGATTGCAACAATTTTGTTGAATATGTTATTAAATTTTTTATGAAGGGAGACTTCAAAATCTACCTCTATAAGATAATCATATCTTTTTAGCTTTATAAGCTAATTACATCATAGTTCAAATTGAATTTTGGGGGCTAGGCATGTAACAATTAAATTGGGAGATGAATCTTTTGTATTGGAATTGGGAGGAGTCTAACTCCTTGACCTGTTATGGGAAGGATTGCAACATTTTTGTTGAATATGTTATTATGCTTATTTCTTGGGTGAGATTTAAAAATCTGTCTTTTTCTGTTATCGAGGGATCATAAGATCTTGGTGATATTTAGCTTTCAATTTATTGAAGTGCTTGATTTATGCCCCTAATCTCTTCTCTGCTTTTTAAGTGAATTTCGAACCTACGAGGCTGAATATCAAATTTGGGACTAGCAATTCAGGTCATTCATTTGTGACTACGGTTCGCAACGTGTCATTTCAAATCATACAATTTCATATCTATAAATCGTGTCGTGAACTATAAAGATGTTATATATTGGAAAACATTTTTCATAGATATAATGGACTATATCAAAGATAATCATAAACGCTTTCTTTATAGACATGTTATGTATCTTTGCTATTTACACACATTATTAATGCAACAACACATACAAAAACATAATAATCAAACTCATCCGGCCAACAGGCCGGACCCGGTGCTAGTAAAGAAAAGATTAGAAAATATAGAGGAGAAAATGAGGATAAGAGATAAAATGAAGGGAATGGTGGATGATCTGGTAGTTGATATCGTGGGTTTCTCTGGAGGGATATGGTTATTATGGAACTCTTCATGCAATACGGTCGAAGAGAAAGATAGGTCATTTCAACACTTGCATGTATCGGTGGAACAAGGGACTACGAAGTGGATGTCCACAGCTGTCTATGGCAACCCGGCTCTTATCCAGCGTCGGGGGCTGTGGAACTCTCTTAGGGACATCGCAGAGGATATATCTGACCCTTGGCTAGTGGCGGGAGACTTCAACTCGATCCTCTATGCTTCTGAAAAATCGGGTGGAGCCCCTTTTGACGCTAGCAGGGTTAGAGATTTTCAAGATTGTGTCCTCGATGCAGGGCTGATTGACCTGGGATTCTCGGGGCCACCTTTTACGTGGTTCCATGCGGGCAAAAAGGAGAGGATTGATCAAGGGATGGTGAATGCTGCTTGGCACTCCGCTTTCCCAGAGAGCTTGGTGCAACACCTCCCAAAAATCAAGCCGGACCACCGACCTCTCTTAGTCCACATGAACTCATCCTACCAGCCTGCTGGGCCGAAACCGTTCTGCTTTCTAGCTGCCTAGTTGATGCATGAGGATTTTAAAGGTATGGCGGAGCTAGCCTGGTCTCTTCAATGGAACCTTTCACGACGGGAGCGAAAGAATGGAACCATCACACCTTCGGACATATTACTAAAAGGAAAAATTCCTTGCTGGTTAAGATTGAGCGTTTGGAAATAGCAGGAGGTGGGAATTCTGATGTACCCCAGCTAAAACAATACCGCCGGGAGCTTGAAGATACTCTCCTACAAGAAGCAATATTGTGGTGCTAAAAGTCGGGACTAGATTGGCTCGCGTAGGGAGATAAGAACTCCAAATACTTTCATGCCCGCACGGTCCAGCGAAGGAAGAAGAACAATATTAATATGCTGCAGGATGAGACAGGAGCTTGGGTGGAAGACGAACAACTCTTATAGGACATGGTCATGATGTTTTTTCAGCTTCTGTACACAGACGAACCAAGCTCCATACAAAGCTTGCCGTCCTTGTTCCCTAACGTGGCAGAAGATCTTGGGAAAAGCATCTCGGGGACGTTCATAGATGAGGAGGTTCGGCGGACAGTCATGGGGATGGGTGCTCTCAAGGCGCGAGCATGGATGACTTACACCCGATTTTCTTTCAGAGGTTCTGGCCATCGGTGGGAGCAAAAATGGTCCAATTTTCTTGAGACGGTTTGGCTGACCCGACGAAGGTCAAGCTGGTGAACGAGACTATTATGGTGCTCATTCCAAAAGTCAGTCGGCCATCCTTGATCGAGCAGTATCGGCCCATCAGCCTGTGCAACGTACCGTATAAGATCATGACTAAGTGCCTGGCGGAGCATCTGAAATTGTGGTGCACTCTATGAGAGCTAAGACGGGGCATAAGGGCTGGATGGTATTAAAATTGATCTCGCAAAGGCGTACAATCGCATCAAATGGGATTTTGTGCAGGATACTTTGTAGGCTGCAGGGTTACCAGGAGATTTTATTGCTCTAGAAATGCAGTGCATCTCCTCGTCCAGTATGCGCATTCAGTGAAATGGTGGACTAACTGACAGTTTCTCTCCCTCGAGAGGACTCCGACAAGGCTTCCGGCTCTCACCCTAACTTTTCACCCTATGTATGGAGCGATTAAGTCATCTAGTGAAGGTGGCGGTGAACGTGGGCGCGTGGAAAACCATCAGGATCTTGGCTAATGGGCCTACACTTTCACACCTATTTTTGGCAGATGATCTAATCTTGTTTGGTGAGTCATCCATGCAGCAAGTTACAACTATGATGTAGTGCTTGGATGACTTCAGTGTAGCTTCGGGTCAACAAGTCAGCAAGCCAAAATCACGTGTGTTCTTTTCGAAGAACGTTACAGTAGCACAAGGGGCGGAAATCTCCTCTGCCTTGGGGATACCAGAAACGAAGAACCTGGGACGTTATCTTGGCGACCCAGTTATTCATGACCGTGTTTCGAATGCAACTTTTATTGATCTAATTGATAAAATGGATTCTCGCCTCGCAGGTTGGAAAAGCAAGACTCTATCCTTGGCCGGACGTGTTACCCGGGCTCAGGCGGTACTCTCATCACCGCCATCTTACATCATGCAAACTACCTTTCTTCCGGCAAGTGTGAGGGAATATATCGACAAGAAAATTAGAGCGTTTATCTGGTGAAGCTTGGAGGGAGGCAGGAAGATTCACTTGGTTGACTGGGAAACTATATGTCGCCCTAAAGAGGAAGGAGGCCTTGGGATTCGAAGTGCGACTAGAAACAATAAAGTCTTTATGCTCAAAATAGCTTGGAGATTGATGGCGGAACCGGAGAGCCTATGGGCCAGTGTTGTACTGGCAAAATATCTACATCGAACGGAGGAGGGATGGCATCCAAGAACTCAAGGCCGACTGTCTAACCTGTGGCGGGGTGTCCTTCGGATTCTCCATCTGCTCTCGGACGCAGTTATATGGAATATTAAGAGTGGAAAGAACACACGATTTTGTATTGATCGGTGTTTACAAGACGGACCGGTATTAGCAGATTTGGCGATAAATCTCCCTCAACAAGCACTCGCATTGACGGTAGCTGAACTGGTCTTCAATAGTGAGTGGAACCTACCTTACCTTCGTGCTTTTTTGCAGGATGATATCATCAGCACTATCCAGCTACATCTGGTGCCTCATGAAACAGGGGGGATGCTGTCGTTTGGCGATTTACTCCAGATGGTTGTTTCTCGTTGAAGACGGCTTATACATTGACTGTGGAGGAGGAGAGTCATGTTGGCACGCATCCCGTGTGGAAAACGCTGTGGCAAACTCCTGCAACGTAGCGGATTCGTGCTTTCTTTTGGCTAGTAGCACACCATAGACTACTTACAAATTGTGAAAGGCGGAGGAGGCATCTAACGTCTGTGGCGAACTGCCCCATATGTGGTGGAGATGAGGAGTCGAACTTGCACGTCATTCGAGACTTCCCATATGCTCGAGATGCTTGGGCGGATTTCCTTCACAAGGAGACAGATGAGACTTTTTTCCAGGCTGATCTAAATAGGTGGATCCTACACTACCTTGTTGGACGTAGCCTGAGTGTGACACCAACCCGCTTTGTTGTGATGTGTTGGATGCTATGGAAGAACAGGAACAAGTTTGTTATCGAGAAGGAGCTGGACTCGACAAGCTCCCTTCCTTGTAGAGTGGTGACGTTGGAGAAACAGGTTGAAGAGGCAGCCACGAAATCAGCGCTAGTCTATGCTGGTGGGGCTGTCCCTTCCCAGCGTTTGATTGCTTGGAAGCCCCCTCTGCCAGGCTAGTCATGTCTCAACACGGATGGGTCGGTGGTGGGTGGAAATGCAGCTGCGGGAGGGGTTATTCGCAGGGATGGTGGTCGTATGGTGAAAGCGTTCTCCGGTAACTTGGGGGAAGGGTCTATTACTATAGCAGAATTGGCGGGCATCGCTTTTGGGTTGAAAGCAGCGTGGGAGATGGGGACTACGACAGGTGCAGGTCCATACCGATTCTCATGCAGCTATACAACTCGTTGGAGGAGCAGGGAAATGGCACCCACACTTGGCACTGGTCTCCGAAGTGAGAAGACTCCTGGATCTCGATTGGCAGGTGGAAGTTGTTCACGTGTTCCGGGATGGCAACCCCCAGGTGTTCATTTCCTTGATGGCCATTGTCCGATCCTAAACTATTGGCTATACATTGATTGTATTGGAGTGTCCACTCCTCATTTAGTTCGTAATGAATAACGGTTGGGGTGCTCGCTAGCACCCCGCTTCCTACAAAAAAAAAATCTTTTCATAATCTAGTGTAGTTGTGGCATGACAATGGAGAGGTAGCGTACCCTAAATTCCTTATTCGTTGGGGTATTAGCACACACACAGAACAAAAAGATTTTTTTTTGTTTTTTTGGAATTGGTACAGCAAAAGGAAACTCACATAACGAGCAAAGATGATTAATTTTTTTTGGGGGGGGGGGGGGAATTGGCCTTTAGCGCTTTAAATCTTTGGTCCCTCAAAGGAAACGAGCAAAGAGGAAGATGGAAATGAAGAGCAATGTTCGGCGTGAAGTTCTGTCACGCACTTGGTTTGGATTTCAAATCTTGATAAATGCATTGATGAAGATGAAGAGAAGTCGCGTCGTTGAAATCACTCACGGTGCCCTTTACAACTATTGTAGTTGTTGCGGTCGTCAACTTGTCAAAGTTATGGCCGTCGACAAAGAGCCTCGGTCGTTGATTTTTGTTTGCTACTTTCGTGGACGCGTCGCAAATCACATGAACTATCGCCACCGCTGTCGTTGACGGAGGAAAAGGGTGGAGAGGCCTCCAAAGCTTTTTTGTGCTTTTCATTTATGTTGAACTCTTACAAGGGTAAAAACATCATTAACATTGCTCGGGTCGTGGTTCAACCATATATAACAGTTTTGGGATGAGAAATTTAACAGAAGGGTATGTGTGAAAAATAGTTTGATAGTAGAAGGACAAGTTTGACGTGATTTATATTAAATGGACATGTTTAAGAAAAAATACATAATAACAAAATATACCTATAACCAGAGGTGGACCTAGGGCTAGAGAAGGAGGGGTGTTTTCCGACACCCCTTCGCCCGAAAATTTTGTGAGCTCCCTCCATTTTTTCTGTACAAAAGATTTTAATTTGGGACTTTCGGCACTGCTCTAATAATTATAAGACACACCTTCATTATACGACAATAATTTTATTTTTATCAATTTATTCAACATAATTAATAATAATAAGTAAAATCAAGTAAGCATAATTTTTTAAAATAACCCACAACCCAATTTTTCCCCAATTTAACTTGTAAATTTGTAGTTAATAGGTGAATTGAGTAGATTTATGGTAGATTGTGGTTTTAGTTTGGTTATTTGGTAGAATGAGAGAAAAAATGCTAATGGTATGTCTTTAGACATACTTGTTTTGTCTAAAATTCCCAATTGGTAGATTGTGTTAGTAAACAAATTTAGTTTAACTTTGAATTTAGACATGGGTTGATTCTCTTCAGTTGAATGAATAATTTATGAATGATTATTTAGTTGTGTATATCGAAAAAAGTTTGATTTGCAACATAAACGATGAATGTATTTTAAAAAAATTTAGGATATGAAAAATCGTCATAGTAAACATGACATAGTGAACTTATGAATTCATTTCTAGTTGCTTTTTTTTTAATTTTTAATTTGTATTTATTTATTATAACTTTTTATCGGCGACACCCCTCTCCAACAATTCTGGGTCCGCCACTGCTATAACCCATTTTGTAAACTTTTAGTTTTAATCAAACTTAACTCGATGAGAAAGTGACAAGTGTTAAGTAAAAAAATGTTGATTAAAGAAATAACATGGCCGTGATTTAGTGGATTAATAATTCACCAAGAGAGAAATAGCTCTATGAAAGGCCTCACAACAACTCGACTTAATACAAATCTTCGTACATAAACTTCAGGGCCGACCCATGATATTCGGAGGCCCTTTTCGAAAATTTAAAATGTGGCCCTAAATTTTTTCTCCACAAATTTATCAAAAATAAAATTTAATTAATATGTGGTCCTAATTTTTTTTACACTTAGAAGTTAGAACTACCTAATTCAATTTTTTTAGTTGACATAATTAAAAAATTGTTACTAAAGATAATGATTCCACGACCACTCGGGAATCAACTAACACTAATCCAAATTTCTAAGCAAAATCCCAGGGAAAAAGAAATAAACACAAAATTGGTTAGAATGCAAAACAAATTACAATGCAACAGATTAGTTAGAATGCAAAACCACTCGGCCCAAACAAATTAGGCAGGCCTGGTGCATTCCAATTAGGAAGCAAAAGACATTATAATCCAAGGACCATTTCAATTCGCCGGCCCGGCCTGGCAGCTTCTCCAACTCCATGACTCCATTCGCATTCGGCCATTTTCCAAATATTTATTAATGTATGAGTCACGTTGAGGCCCCATATATTATGAGGCCCTGTACTATGGGTCAGACGAGCACAAGATCTGGGCTGGGCCTGATAAACTTCGTACCTAAAATATACTCCGTCAAATATCATTATAGTTAGTCCTATTAAAGTTTAATCTTCAAACTAATTGGTAGCAAATCTATAATTAAGTTTGGTTGGATAGAATGCGTTTCTTTTCTTTGTTTGAATGGGTGTGCGGGTCAGATCAGGTCCTTAAGGCCTAATCCTTAAGGAAGATCTTAAACCATCTCTAGCCAATAGGAGAAGGGGAGAGAAAAACATTAGTAATAATTAGCTAACTACCTAAAAGGGTAAGACTGGAATATAATAGAAACTTAATTGATTAATAATTAAAAAGGAAAATGGTAGAAATCACTCCTCTGATGCCTCACTATTGAAAATTCATATCGGGAAAAATGGCCTCCTCCGAACCCTAAAATCGTTTCCCTCGAAGCCACGGCTGCAAACCCATCGCCGGCTAACCGTCGCGTTCCGGGTGCAATCCCAGCGTCGGTGCCACAACAGCACGGCTGCGTCACGTCATCATCAAGTCTGTGTCACGTCGTCGTCAAGTCACAGGTGCATCCGTTTTGGTTTCCTCGTCTGCAATCTCGTCATCATCAAGTCGTCGTTCCATCTGCAAACCCTCCGTCATGGCTTCCTGGTCGCTGTCGTTTCTCCCATCTCGACCATCTTCTGGTCAGATTCCCGTCGACGTCGTCACTAGCTTCCCGTGCTCGGCGTGATGGGTGATGATGATAATAACGTTGCTTGTAATGTTAATAACGTAAGGATAAAGATAAAAAACGAATGTTAATAATGTAAGTTAGAATGACAACAAAATGTTAATAACTTTGGTAAAAATGATAATAACGTATCTTAAAATGTTAATAACGTAGAATAAAATGGAAAGAATTTGTAATGTTAATAATGTAGTTTAATACATGTTGAAAGTGTAACTATAATTTGTTAAATTGTTAATAATGTGGGTTAATATGATAATAACGTAGGTTAAAATGTTAATAACGCAAGGGAAAAGATAGGTAACGAATGTTAAAAATGTTAGTAATGTGAGTTAGAGTGAGAACCAAATGTTAATAACGTTAACTAAAATGATAATAACGTAGCTTAAAATGTTAATAATGTAGGTTAAAATGAAAGAGCTCTTTTTTATTACGTGGGTTAAAATGTTAATAACATGGGCCAGAATGATAATAACTCAGTTTAAATTGTTAATAATGTAAGTTATAATGAAACCATCTTTATATAACGACAGTTAAAATGTTAATAATATAGCTTTATATTATTGAAAGTATAACTAATAATTTGTTAAAATGTTAATAACGGCGGCAACGACGGTGGAGAACTGGACCAAGGGTGGCTGGAACTCGCCGTTGGTGGACTGGGCCGACGACGGCGGAGAACGCTGGCGGGAGCTACTTCACCGGCCATAGATCACAGCGGGAGGGGAGCTGAATCGACAGCGGCAACGGAAGAATGGCGAGCGATGTTGCTGGACTAGAACGACGACCGCAACGGGAGATATATACATTAGAAGGGCTACGTTTTTTAATTTAATTGTAATTCCCTTAATAACCCTAACAACTATTTAACTAATAACTCCCCTTAACTACCTAAAATTAAATCAGCCAATCACAACGCTTTAAAATCCTCCTTAAAAAAGAGGGTTTAAGGACCTGAACTTAGGCCATGGGCGTGAGAGTCGTAACTCATAACTCCTAAGTTCCAAGTCAGAACTAAGAAGTAAGAAGTGAGCAATCCGACTCCCCGGTCTTCAAAACGTAACTCGGCCAAACTCCCACACTAACCGCCTGCGCTCTCCATGCTTATAAATAAATGTATCTGCGCTCGCTCCGGACCAGTAACACGTTTCCCCCTCCTATTCTCCCGACGTCTCTCGTTACCACAACCTGCAACTGCACCCCTACCTGCTGGCAGCTTGCTGTTTGATCGGCGGATCTCTGTTCCCCCCATGGCTTATCGTCCTAACTACCAGGGCGGCCGCCGGGGAGGTGGAGCGCCTGGCCGCGGCGGCGGAGGAAGAGGAAGAGGAGGCAGCGGAGGTGGAGGCGGAGGCGGAGGTGGAGGAAGAGGCGAGCAACGCTGGTGGGACCCCGTCTGGCGAGCGGAGCGATTGAGGCAGCAAGCTGCTGAGGTAATAGAGTCTGTTCCTCAAATTACTGTGTTCTCTTTGGTCAATTTGCTTAGGAGGTAGGGTTTTAGCTAAGATGGATAACGTTCTTTCCCCCTCTGGTTTGCATGATAGCTGATTGGGACTAGGTTAGCTGTAAGAAAGCCAAACTATGGAGAGGCTGAATTGATATGGCCGGTTAATTGTTATGCTCTCAGTCAGCTCGCCGTTGCAATATAGATTGGATCATTCCATTTCTCTTTGTGATGAGTCATGTATGTTCCTTCACCGTTTACAGATGGAGGTTCTTGACGAAAATGAATGGCGGAATAAGATCGAGCAAATGAAGGTGGGAGGGGAGCAGGAGATGATCATAAAACGGAGTTTCAGCCGTGCTGACCAGGAAAAATTGGCAGACATGGCATATCAATTTGGTCTTCACTTGTAAGTACTTCAAAATTTTAAGTCATTCCAATCAAATTAATTCCCCTCTTGGATTTCACAAGAAAATATTTTCTCAAGGTTCTTGGTTCCTAGTCAAAATGTGATGCGTCTCTCATGGTTTGGTCTATCGTTTCGGTTTCCATTAGCTGACAGGAGGGTGAGATGGTTCACATATGTATAATGCCTGTGATTATTTTCCTTATCAATTTTATTTATTACCATCTTTTATTTTTGTCAACTTGGACTTGTGGAAAGGAAGTCATGCGTATAGCAAAGGGAAGACACTAGTGGTTAGCAAAGTTCCGCTCCCAAATTACCGGGCAGATCTTGATGAGCGCCATGGCTCCACTCAGAAAGAGGCAATGAACCAAACAATAGAGAAATTTATAATATCTGTGTCTTTTCACAACCTTTTTCCTGGTTTCTCACGTGGACATAATTGCAGATCCGAATGTCCACCGAGACTGAGAGGAAAGTTGGAAGTCTTCTTGGTAGCTCGCTGGGAGCTAGTCCTGCTAAAGGTTCTAGTTCCACATATCCTCAAGAATCCTCACAATCATCAAGTGCAGTGAAAGTAATAAAACCTGTCTCAAAGGAAATTGATTCTGCCAAGGAGAAACTGAGTTTGGAACTAAAGCAGAAGCAGGATGAGCTCAGGGTAGATAAATGATTCTCAAGAGATGTACTTTTGGTTTATTTCTTCTTGGCATGCTGAAACGCTGCATTTCTTTTGCTTTTTTAGGTCGTCTTCTTACTTGTACTTCCATGAACTTAACGCCATCCTGTTGTTGTTTCTTTGTTTAGGCAAGCAATGGTGTGAAGGAAATCCGATCCTTTAGAGAAAAGTTGCCTGCATTCAAGGCCAAAGCTGAATTTCTAAAAGCTGTTGCGGAGAATCAGGTTCACGTTTCTGCCATAATTGAACTTTGAGGTGTTTTTTCTCCTTGGTATGGACTACAATGCACCTGTAGTTTAATAGTATGCACATGATTATGTTACTGTTTGACACCTATTGCATGGAAGGGTTTTACATTGAGCATATAAATGGACATGCAGTCAGATAACCATCTTTCTAGGCTGAATGTCCGATATCGTCTTTAGTGTGATATGGCTATTGATACTTTTCATTTATCTGCACAGGTTTTGGTAATTTCAGGAGAGACTGGTTGTGGTAAAACAACTCAGCTTCCACAATACATATTAGAAGAGGAGATCTCGGCATTGCGTGGGGGTTCCTGCAGCATAATTTGCACACAGCCCCGTCGTATATCTGCGATATCTGTTGCTGCTCGGGTGTCCTCTGAAAGAGGAGAGCCTCTTGGTGGAAGTGTCGGTTATCAGATTCGCCTGGAATCAAAGCGATCTGCTCTAACTAGGCTTCTTTTCTGCACCACTGGCGTATTGCTGAGACAATTGGTAGTTTACTTATTGATTGTTACTTGTAGAGTGTAGTTTGATAATGTCCAATACTATTTTGTATGCTGTCTGCATCTACATTGTACTCATCTTGGAGAGATTTTTGGACCATGTTAACTAAATGTCATGATCTGGATGTTCTGCGACTGTGCAACGGAATATATAGTAGTATATGAGTAGTGATCAAGTTAATAGTTATTTCTTAGAAAGTTCCTTATTTCGGTAGTTCTAAATTATATATTCTGTACAGGTTCAGGATCCAAATTTAACCGGTGTCACACATTTGTTAGTTGATGAAATTCATGAGAGGGGCATGAACGAGGACTTCTTATTGATTATTTTGCGTGATCTCCTTCCTCGGAGACCAGACTTGCGCCTCATTCTAATGAGTGCAACAATCAATGCAGACTTGTTCTCAAAATACTTTGGAAATGCACCAACGATTCACATACCGGTATTGTAATATTCTTTACTAATACTTTCAAGTACTGCAAACTGTTTTTTTCCCTGCATTTGTTTGTCAAATCTTTGAATTCTGTGGTTTGGCAGGGATTTACCTTTCCTGTGGTCGACTTCTTTCTAGAGGATATTCTGGAGAAAAGCCGTTATAAGATACAACCTGAGTCTGACAATATGCAGGGGAGTTCAAGAAGAGGCAGAAGAAGAAGAGATCAAGAATCAAAGAAAGATCCATTGACAGAATTGTTTGAGGCATGCTAAATTGTGAACTGAATAACCTGTTCTTAAGAGATCTTAGCTCTTGATCATGGCGAGCCTTTAAATTTTTTTACGTCTATTGCATTTGCTCATCCTTGGACCATTCTCTATACAGGACATTGACATTGATTCTCACTACAGAAATTACAGTGCATCTACACGGATGTCCCTCGAAGCCTGGTCGAGTTCGCAACTTGATTTGGGCCTGGTTTGTACTCTGAGAACCCACATAAACGTTTTAACACTTTTGCGTGATTTGAAGAGAAATCCTCTTTGACAAAAAGATATCCATTGAACACAATTGTCATTCTTCCAGATCGTTTTTTTTTAAGCACACAACACTTTTTCTTAAAAGTAGATTTATCATAGATTTATGACTGATAATTTAGCTACCTACTTCTGTATGTGTAATGGACTCTTCTAAATTTTTTTTTGTAGGTGGAGGCCAGCATTGAGTATATATGCCGTAGTGAAGGTGATGGTGCAATTCTGGTATTCCTTACTGGGTGGGATGAAATCTCCAAGCTACTAGACAAGATAAAAGGAAACAGACTTCTAGGAGACCAAAGCAAGTTCTTAGTGCTTCCTTTGCATGGTTCAATGCCTACAATCAATCAACGGGAGATATTTGACCGTCCTCCCCCTAACAAGAGGTATCTTTCTTTATCTGTTCTGTTACCGTGGCTGTCATCTATGGTTGTAGCTTTAATATTTATTGTTGGGCTTTTTTTTTTGTCATTGTTACCAAACTATTGCAACATCTGTGATAGTGATATATATGATCCTCTACTGCTATTTCTTTTAACTTTGATATATATCACTGTAAAGCCTAAGCGTGAAAGTTTGAGTTTTTTCTCAATTGTATTTTTCACCTAACAACTTGATTGGCTTTTGCAGAAAAATTGTTCTTGCAACGAATATTGCAGAGAGTAGTATCACCATTGATGATGTTGTGTATGTCATAGACTATGGAAAAGCAAAGGAAACCAGCTACGATGCTCTAAACAAGCTGGCTTGCCTCTTGCCAAGCTGGATCTCAAAGGCTTCAGCACATCAGGTACTTGCTTCTACCTTGAAAGTATTTAAAAATTCTACTTCGTGATTCCCGAAGATCTTCTTAATAATTCGTGTTAGGTTTTTCACAAATTAATAGATTTTTTTTTTGGAATACTGGAAAAACATTAGAGGCGGGGCCGTGCCGGTCGTGTACAATCAGGAGTTTGTTACAAACTATATCCGAAGGTTATCCATGATGCGATGCTTCAGTATCAGTTACCTGAAATCCTCCGTACCCCTTTGCAAGAGCTGTGTCTACATGTGAAAAGCTTGCAGCTTGGAGCTGTTGGCTCGTTTCTTGCCAAGGCACTTCAGCCACCAGATTCTCTCTCCGTTCAAAATGCAATTGAACTTCTAAAAACCATCGGGGCTTTGGATGATACTGAAGAGCTTACACCTTTAGGTATATGTCTAATTTCCATTATCGTTATCATCCTTTCTCTACCGCATTGGGTTGTTTCTTATTCAAGCTATGAACAGGTCGCCACCTATGCACTTTGCCTATGGATCCCAACATCGGCAAGATGCTCCTGATTGGTTCCATTTTCCAGTGCCTTGGTCCTGCCTTAACAATAGCAGCTGGTCTTGCCCATCGTGACCCATTTGTCCTTCCAATAGATAGGAAGCATGAAGCTGATGCTGCAAAGAGATCATTTGCTGGTGATTCTTGCAGGTCAGATGACGTATCACACATGGGTGTGTTTGTTTTGGCTTTAGCTTACAGAAGTGACTTCCTTTGTTCCAAGTAGATTGTTTATATGGTAATAAATGAGTTAATTTTGAGAAATGACTATTACATGTAACTTCTTAGTAAGTTAGTATTGATTCTTATTTTCAAGGGGTAAAATTTGAATAAATTTCATTAGTAAGGTGGCTTTAAGGCTTTTTGAATTGTTTATCTTGCAGCCACTCATGAATCGGCTGCAATGAGTTATATTTATCTCCAAGAATAATCATTCGTGACTTTTTGATGCAGTGACCACATAGCACTTGTTAAAGCATTCCAAGGATACAAAGAAGCCAAACGTACCCGAAGTGATAGATCATTCTGTTGGGACAACTTTTTATCCCCTGTAACTCTGCGGATGATGGAAGAAATGAGAGAGCAGTTTCGTGACCTACTTACTGACATTGGGTTTGTGGACAGATCCAAGACCGCTGATGTAAGGCTGCTCGATTAACAAGAAACTTATTTCCCTGAATAATTTCGAGTTAAAGAAGAATTTGGGATCAAATACTCTTTTCAATATTCGATATGGTGCAGGCTTACGATCAATACAGCCATGATTTGGAGATGGTGTCGGCTGTCCTGTGTGCTGGACTATACCCAAAAGTTGTACAATGCAAAAGGAGAGGGAAACGCACTGCATTCTACACGAAAGAAGATGGGAAGGTTGACATTCACCCTGCCTCAGTAAACGCAGGAGTCCACCTCTTCCCACTACCATACATGGTCTACAGTGAAAAGGTGAAAACGACTGGAATTTATGTTCGAGATTCGACAAATATATCGGATTATGCACTGCTTCTGTTTGGAGGTAACCTTGTTCCAAGCCAGAATGGCGATGGGATTGAGATGCTTGGCGGTTACCTCCATTTCTCTGCATCAAGGAGCGTGCTGGAATTGATTCGGGTAATATATGGCTCTTTTATTTATCCACCAGCTTAAGCAGTAAATGCTGTTGAATCTGGAGTAAGCTTTGCTTATTATCCTCATTTAAATTGATGTCCTCTGTAGAAATTGCGTGTGGAATTGGACAAGCTTCTGAATAGGAAGATCGAAGACCCAACCTTAGACATGTCTGCAGAGGGGAAGGGCGTGGTTTCTGCTGTGGTTGAGTTGCTCCACAGTTACTGAAATGCGGAACTGAAGATCTCTCTTGGCCTACCTGCTTTGGAGGAATCGAAAAACTTATAGCCCTTTTTAAATCTTAGTGGTGATATATCCTTTGCAAAAGTGAACCATATTTTCAGTTATTATCCGATTATCATTGCATATGACGCTTCTCTGATGGCATCTGGTTAGTAAGGATGGCAATGGGTCGGGTCGGGGACGGATAGTACATATCCGTTACCCGGCAATGGGTCGGGTCGGGGACGGATAGTGCATATCCGTTACCCTATCCAAAGTAGTTCGGGTTTTACTCATTCCCATATCCACATAAGAAACAGGTAGAAAATCCAAACCATGCTCATACTCGTTCGGGTTTCGGATATCCACGGTTATTCATTGGTAATAGTTTCTCTTTCTAACTTCAACCAATATATTAATATTCACACGTATTCTCACGTTACGTAAGATGAAAAGTACGACAATTATTCATTAGAATGAAGAAAATTAATTAAAACAAACACAATTTTATAAAAATATTTTATCTATATGCTAAACATAAAATATGTTAGAGAAAAATATTGATTATTTATAGACAAAATACATATGCATGTGTATAATCGGGCGGGTTCAGGTTGGATAGTGAGAAAACCATGCCCACCCATTACCCGCAATATTCGGGTTCAAGTTTTACCCGTACCTACTAAAATTCCTTTGAGTTCGGGTTTTACCCTATCCGATTAGGTCGAATTCGGACGGATATCCACAGTTATAGATATTTTTGTCATCCCTACTGGTTAGAGTGTCTTTATGAGGCTTGACCGCTTTTTTTGGTGTGAGGTTGAATTTGTGCGGTTGGATCGCTGATTGCTATTGTAGTGAGCAGCTGCCACACATCCACCCAATAAGTGAGCTGCCGGATCAGCGAAGTGGAGAAATTTGCATCAGACATGACGAGAATGTGGAAAATCAAGACTGTTTTAACAAAGTTGATCTTCAGCCTCCGTAGTCTTTTTCAATATGTGGTCTCTAACTAAGTATTTTTTGGTTCCGGAGGATGTAGCTATAGAAAAATTAGGAATGGAAAGCTTCCCCACCTCGTTTTTCGCCCTTGGTCTTAAGAATACTAGTTTTAAGAATGAAGATTGTCCTTTTCCGATTTCATGGTATTCTTGTGTTTGATTCCCAGTGACCCCCATTTGTTAAGCACATGGTATTCTTGTCTTCAGACATGTGCAAACTTCAAACCCTTGTGAGTGGCTTTCGTTTGAGGGGGCGTGTTAGTATTGTGGTATATGATCCACGATTGAACCTTTCCCAACAACTTGAGTTATTGGGAGCAACTGGTTCTTGACATGGTATCAGAGCATCAGTAAACTCCAACGAGTTCTGTGCCCTTCCTTTTACTTCCCTTTTTTTTTTCTGCCTCTGTTCTCTGCTGCTTCACCATGTCTACGACTTCCACAAACTCTTCTTCTTATTCTCCCTCGTCTTCTTCCACTGCTGCTACCTCTCTCTTTTTTCCCTCCAATCCACAACTCTCTGTAAAATTGAATCCGACCAATTACCTTCTATGGAAGGCCCAGCTTCAACCACTTCTTCGATGTCATCGCCTCATCGGCCACGTTGACGGCACTCTTCTTGCACCACCAGAGACGATTGAAAATCAACCAAATCCTGCCTTTCAGACCTGGTATGAACGCGACCATACGGCTTTGGTGTGGATCATTCTGTCCTTGATAGAGGCAGTTATGCCCAATATCGTCAATAAGACCACAACCAAAGCTGCTTGGGATACGCTGGAGCGCGTCTATGGTTCTGGCTCGACGGTCATTATTGGCCAACTTCGCAAGCAGCTTATTGGACTGATTTGTACAGCCTTTGTACTTGGGTGTGTTGTTTGGTTATTTTCCTTTTTCACCTAGTTAATTGTCGAAGGTATATTTAGAGGCACTTGGCCTCACTCTGTAATTATCTCGGCTAAACCTAATCAGCCGCATATAGTGAAACCTAACTGAGAGCTCCAAGCTCTCCGTGGACTAGTCCCGATCTTCGGGGAAACCACGTAAATCATCGTCTTCTCTACTTTCCGCATTCTTTACATGGTATCAGAGCTATAGATTCATATCAATACGTTTTCGCATCATGAGCAAGGAAGACGAGGCAAAGGACGTCAAGAACGTGACCTCTGGCACGGATACGATCCCCATTAGCTCGCCCTTGTATCTGCATCCGTCGGAGAATCCTGCACAGCTATTCGGTAGTGATCTCTTGAATGATTCCAACTATGGAGAATGGGTTAGTGACATGACTGAAACCCTAATCGCCAAAAACAAAATGGCGTTTGTTGATGGTTCTCTTCCGCGGAATCAAGCGGGGTCAGGAGAGCGCCAATCCTCTTGGGACCGTTGTGACGCCAACGTCAAAGGTTGGCTGAAGACTGCGATGACCAAGGAGGTCCGCAACAGTGTGCGAACTGCTACTACAGCTCGTGCCATATGGATCGACCTTCAGCGCCGCTTCAGCAAACGATCCGCACAACGTGCCTACGAGTTACGTCGGACCATCAGCTCGACAAGACAAGAAAAGCAAACTGTCTCGTCATTTTATACCCATCTGCGTTCATTGTGGGATGAGATGCAAGCTGTAGAAGGAGTCGCACACTGCAGCTGTGGTGGTTGCACTTGTGGCGGGTGCAGCTGCGATTTGGTTCAAAAGCAACGTGAGAAACAGGACATCGCACGACTGTTCGAGTTCCTGATGGGGTTAGATGATGCATATTCTGTCATACGGTCCCAAATATTAGGCACCAAGCCCACACCAACTCTCGCCGATGCTTATCAAATGGTGGCAGCAGAGGAACAACACCGCCATATCACTAATGCAAGGCGCCCTCCTATTGAAACGAGTGCTTTCCATACACAAATTGCTAGGGACTCAAATGAGGAACAAGACTCTCCTCGTTGCTCCCATTGCAACCGAAAGGGACACTTGAAAGAGACATGCTACAAATTGATTGGGTTCCCACCTGGCCATCCCAAACACAAGCCGACTGAAGATCGATCCGGCAATTCTGGTCGGCGTTCCAAGGCAGCACACGTAGAGAGAGAGACGATCCCGGTTCCTGGGTTAACTGCGGCGCAGTTTGCGCAACTTCAACAGCTGCTTTCTTCTGCATCGGACGCTCGTTCCGAACCCACAGCACACATGGCGGGTAATTATCCTGATCTTTACGAATGGTTGATAGATTCAGGTTGTAATGAACATATAGTGCGAGATTCCAGATGGTTAACTTTAGTTGATGACAACATTGTTCATTCACAAGTTCGTATTCCGGATGGGACGGGTATTCCAGTTAAGAACATGGGCACAGTCAAACTCTCTGATTCTCTTACTTTGCAGCGAGTTTTGCATGTCCCAGAGTTCAAATGCAATCTCTTGTCTGTTAGTCGTTTGACTCAGGAGCACAACGTGGAAGTAATTTTCTTGAATGATGTGTGTATGATTCAGGACTCACATTCCAAGACTCTGATTGGCGTGGGTAAACTGCGAGACGGCTTATATTATTTGCAGCGTTTTGGTGAGGAGTTGGGTACAGCTCGTGATCCCCTGCCACAGGCTTGCAGAGTTGATCGTCAAGCAGCTTCTAGAGAACTGTGGCATGTTCGGCTTGGCCACCCATCTTTGGACAAGTTATTTTTATTAAAGGACCTTGTTGGTTGTAGCTTTGATTCCCGCAGCTCCTTTCATTGTGATCCTTGTGTCCGTGCTAAGCAAGCACGAAACTCGTTTCTTTTAAGCTCAATCAAGACTAGTACTTTCTTTGATCTTATACACCTTGATATATGGGGGCCTTATAAAACACCAGCCACGGATGGGTCACACTATTTCTTGACCATTGTCGATGACTACAGTCGGGGGACTTGGGTTTACTTAATGAAATTCAAATCCGACACTGAGCGCTATTTGCGGTCGTTCTTTGCATTGGTGCGTACTCAGTATGGAAAGAAGGTTCGACGTCTCCAGGCGGACAATGGTCCGGAATTTCAGACTGCATCTCTCCGTAATTACTATGAAGAGCAGGGAATTGTTCTTCAAACGACTTGTACGGATACGCCGCAGCAAAATGGCGTGGTGGAACGAAAGCATCGGCATTTACTAGACACAGCTAGGTCGCTCATGTTCCATGCTAATCTTTCGGTGCGTTTTTGGGGCGAGTGTGTTCTTACGGCGGCCTATCTCATCAATCGCCTTCCTTTGGTGCCTTTGTCTCAAAAGACACCATTCGAAATCTTGTTGGGACGGGTTCCTGCCTATACACACATACGGAGTTTTGGTTGTCTCGTGTATGCTAAAGACACACATTATACCTTGGACAAATTTGCTGAACGAGGGCGAGCGGGGGTTTTCATTGGTTATCCAGGCACCCAGAAGGGTTATCGTGTTTACGATTTGCACACACGGAAGATTTATACATCCCGTGATGTACATTTTGTGGAGAATACGTTCCCTTTCCGGTCGTCCACTAGTGGCTCACAAAAAGACCCTACTCACGTGCATGGTCCTTCTCCCATGCAAGCTTTGTTTGACTTGCCTCCTGCAGGTCACGTTGAGGCACTTAATGATGTGCCAAATTCTGATAATGATCCCATGGATGAAGTGGGGTGGAAAGAACTCCCCATCACATCCCCTTTGCCATCTACCTCGAGCACTTCTATGCAACAGGGGGAGCTCCTTGACGATGTAGACGTGTCCACCTCTCCTTCCCCTCCGCATGTCTCTACCCAGCAAGAAGGTCTTGATCAAGTCAATGTTCTTCCCGACTCACATACTGGCGGTGACTCGCCCTCACACCAAGCCGATCCTCCCGATGCTCTTCGTCGCAGCCATCGAGACAAACGGCCTCCTTCCAAGCTCGATGTGTACGAGGTAACTTATCCTAAGTCCTCCCATCATGTTCAGTTTCCTATATCCAATCATGTTAGTTACCACCGCTTCTCTTCTGACCACTGTGCTTTTTTGGCTTCCATCACCAAATTGGACGAGCCCCGACATTTCTCCGAGGCTGTTCAGTATGAGTATTGGCGGGTCGCTATGCAGAAGGAGATTGATGCTCTTGTAGCTAACGGAACATGGACTCTGGAGCCATTGCCTCCCGGGAAACGGCTCATAGATTCCAAATGGGTCTATAAGATCAAATATCAGCCAGACGGTTCCATCGAGCGCTTCAAAGCTCGATTGGTTGCCAAGGGGTTTACACAGCTAGAGGGGATCGACTTCCACGACACTTTTGCTCCTGTTGCCAAGCTTGTCACAGTTCGTGTTCTCCTCGCCGTGGCGGCTCAGCGCAACTGGTCCCTCCACCAACTGGATGTGAATAACGCCTTTCTCCATGGCGATCTTGATGAGGAGGTGTATATGCGAGTTCCTCAAGGGTTCGCTCGGGATGGCGACACCAGGGTGTGTCGGCTTCGGAAGTCCTTGTACGGTCTCCGGCAGGCTTCGCGGAACTGGTATGCTAAATTTGCTTCCGCTCTTGTGGACTTTGGGTTTACTATGTCCCGGGCTGATAACTCTCTCTTCATATATCACACCCCGGAAGCATTTGTTGCCGTCCTTATCTATGTTGATGATGTGGTCTTGACTGGTGATGCTCCGGAGGTCATTCAGCGTGTTAAGACCTTCCTCCATCAGCGATTCAGCATCAAAGACTTGGGCGTGCTGAAATATTTTTTGGGTATCGAAGTTGCTCGCTCCCCTGATGGCATTGTTCTTAGTCAGCGAAAGTACACTCTGGACATTCTGAAGGACTCCGGTTTAGGCGCAGCTCGGCCCAGCAGTTTCCCTATGGAGCAGAACCACACTCTCACACGCCCCACCGATGATCGTGCCGACGATGTTAGCTCCTATCGGCGCCTCGTGGGTCGTCTCCTGTACCTTACCATTACACGTCCGGACATTGCTTACTCTGTCAACGTGTTGAGCCAGTTTGTTCATTCTCCTAGTCCTGATCACATTGCAGCCGCTCATCGTGTCTTGCGTTACCTTAAGACTGCACCGGGGCAAGGTTTGTTCTTGCCTTCCGCAGGGTCTTTGGAGCTTATCGCGTACTGCGACTCTGATTGGGCTGGTTGCCAGTCGACCCGTCGATCTACTACCGGCTACTTTGTTCAGTTGGGAGGTGCGCCAATTTCCTGGCGGGCCAAGAAGCAGAGAGTCGTGTCCCGTTCCTCTGCGGAGGCTGAGTATCGAGCCATGGCCAGTGCTACTAGTGAGGTTCTATGGCTACGCTTCTTGCTTCGTGAGTTGCAGGTTGTGCAGCGAGCTCCCACTCCTCTCTATTGTGATAATCAAGCAGCGCTTCACATCTCGGCTAATCCGGTTTTCCATGAGCGCACTAAGCACGTTGAAATGGATTGCTACTTCGTCCGGGAGCGCGTTAGTTCTGGTGAGATACTTCCTCAGAAGGTTAAAACCACTCAACAGCTTGCTGACATTTTCACCAAGGCTCTCGGTACAGATCAATTCCACCAGCTCTTATCCAAGCTTGGCATTCGGGATCTTCATGCTCCAGCTTGAGGGGGAGTATTGGACTGATTTGTACAGCCTTTGTACTTGGGTGTGTTGTTTGGTTATTTTCCTTTTTCACCTAGTTAATTGTCGAAGGTATATTTAGAGGCACTTGGCCTCACTCTGTAATTATCTCGGCTAAACCTAATCAGCCGCATATAGTGAAACCTAACTGAGAGCTCCAAGCTCTCCGTGGACTAGTCCCGATCTTCGGGGAAACCACGTAAATCATCGTCTTCTCTACTTTCCGCATTCTTTACACAGCTCACTCGCATCCAACGCGGGACAGATTCCGCACACGTCTATCTCCAGCGTGCCAAGACTCTCTTCGACAAAATGGTGGCTCTGAGTGCTACCATTACTGAGACAGAGCTGGTCACCGCCGTGATGGACGGCTTGGACGAAGAGTATTGTCCATTTACCTAGGGCTGCTAAACGGTACGGTAACCGGTTTACCGGTTTTGGTAATACCGGAAATATAAAGCCAGGCCGGAATCCGTTACCGATCTCATCTCGGTATACCGATTACCGTTAACACACGGTATCGGTAAGGGATCGGAATCCCGAAATTACCGACGGTAAAAAGTCCGCCTCCCCCCCCCCTCCCCCCCGGTCCGGCTGTCTCCTGTCGGCTGTACGGTCGGCTGTCGCTGTGGGCCTGTGGCAATTCCAATTCCAATATGGCAATATCATCATTCGGCTGTCAGCTGTCTCCAACTCTCCATGACCAACGCCACATGGCAATTCCAAATTCCAATATCATCATTCATCACCATTCACCAACGCCACTTGCCATTTGTCTTGTAAAAAAAAAAGCCATTGCCATTTCCAATTTCATGAGCATTCACCAACAGGCAACGAGATATTCCAACTCCCGTCCACAATGTCAAATTGTCAATGGACAATAGTAAATTAAATTGAAAATAAATAATAAATTTAACAAGTAAATTCCAAACATCAAATTGAAAAATGAAAATACTAAAAAATAAGATCAAATATAGCATTTTTCTTTTACGTAGTACGTAGAATTCCAAATAGAGCAAATATAGCAATCTGGTCTGCTGCTTCTAAATTTTAAATTAAATTCGAAGACATGAAGATAAAAAATAGAATTACTAGCTCCTCACTTGCCACTAGGACCTGTACCACCAACATCAACGAAACCTTGCTGCTTCAAAGTGGTGCGAAGGTTATCATCACCATTATCCTCCTCGTCCTCGTCCTGGTCCTCCTCATCCTCGTCTGAATCTTCCTCATCTTCCTCCTCCACCACAACAGGTAAACTTTGTTTGACACCTTCACTTGGCTTGGCAGTAGCACTCTCCATTCGAGTTTGGAAGTTAGTAGTGACTAAGTGTAAAAAAAAAAAAATACAAATTGTTAGAACTTAGAATTCATCTAATACTATGTAATCAGAAACTGAGTAATGGAAAACTTAAAAATAAATGAAATTAAGAATTCTTACCACTTTCATAATCGATTTGGTCTTGATTTTCATCTTCTGTATCATCAACTTTGTCTGCTTTCTTTCCTCCTTCATACCTTATCCAATCTTCAGCACAAATCAAGGCCTCTATAATGGTGGGGCTCAACGAAGACCTAAACGGACTGAGCACTCGACCTCCACAACTGAAAGCAGCCTCTGAGGCAACAGAGGAGACTGGAACAGCTAGGATATCCTTAACCATCTGGGAAAGAATAGGATATCTAACGCTGTTCTTACTCCACCACAGCAAGATGTCAAACTTCATATCATTATCATCCTCGTTAATAGCATCATCAACATCTCTTAAGTAAATGTCTAGCTCAGAAGAACCTCGAGTCCCCCTCTGTAGTTGCTCTTTTCTCATCTTGAAGAATTCAGCATCAAATGTCCCTCCATAAGATGCAAATCCAGTACCATCATCAACACTAGGAGTGGTAACAGTAGGCTCTGAGGGTTGAGGTGCATACTTCAATCTGTAAACCTCAAACATTGCAGTCATCTCTGCAGTCACATCTTTCACCAAATCGTCTCTTTTCTTCTGCCCATACATCTTACCCCACATCCAATACAAATAAGCCATTTTACGCCTAGGATCTAGCACACAAGCCATGTAAACCATCCTATTTATCCTTAGGTTCTCCACCTCGTCATCATCATCATCATCATTCTCAAACCAATACTTTCGTACCTTTGTCTCCATTCTTGCTGCCATCCGTTGTATCTCTACATCCATGTCTTTCTTAAAAAGTTCTATCACTTCATAGATGTCAGCAATAGCCTTGAAGAAAGTATGAGCAGTCACATAAGATGTTCCTAATACATCCAAAAATAACAACAATTTATTCACAAATTAGTAATTAGTAATTACAATTTACAAGTTAATAAAAGTAAAAACCATGAATTTTAATAGGTGGAGTTATGTTTGTTCACATACTTGATACCCGAAAGGTGAGCTCATAAAAGAACTTCAAATACTTCATTAGCCGTCGAATACCGCTCCAATCTTCCTTAGTTGGAAGACCTCTCTTTGAATTCACATAATCCCGAAATGCAGAATCATTGGGGCTTGCATGCAAGAAGTTAAAGACAGTCTCAAACCTTTTTGCAGATTCCAACATCACATAGGTTGAGTTCCACCTAGTTGGAACATCCAAAGATAGAAGTCTTCTTCCATCCATTGATAGATAATCAATGGCAGATTTGAACTTTGCACTTCTACCTGGTGATGACTTCACCCATTTAACACAATCTCGAACCCTTTCTACAGCAACTCCAACCTCCTTCAACCCATCTGACACAACCAAATTGATTATATGTGCCACACATCGAAATTGCAAATACTTCCCACCAATCAAATCTGTTCCCCACTCTTTCATCTTTGTTCTCATACACTCTGCAAGAACATTATTAGAAGAAGCATTATCCATGGTAATGGAGAACAACTGTTGTGCTTTCCAACCTTGTAGACATTCTGCCAATTTTTCTGCAATGTCCTTCCCTGTGTGACTGGTGATGGGAACAAAGCTAATGATCCTCTTCTGCAGCTTCCAGTCACTCCCAATGAAATGAGCAGTCACGCACATGAAATTCTGGTTGTTATCAGAAGTCCATGTATCTGTGGTGATAGAAATTCTTCCTTTGCACTTGGATTTGAAGAACTCAGATAGCAACTCTTTTTTCTCCAAAAAAATTATATAGCAATCCTGCCTTATTGTCTGTCTTCCAGGTATCATAAACAATGGTTGGGTTACCGCCATAAATCTCTTAAACCCTTCATGCTCAACAAAGCGAAATGGCAGCTCATCCAAGATGATCATAACAGCTAATGCAGTTCTAGCTCTTTGTTGATCAAACTTCCATGGAGTAAGAGAGCCTACGTCACCATCCCCAGGTTGATAGTTCAATAGTGATTGACCACTGGCTTCTTTCCTCTTCCTCTCACATGCCAAGTGATGTTGCTTCAAACCAGAAGTCCCGTTATTGGTCGAGTGAGCTTTGATCAACGTTCCACATTGTTTGCATTTGCCATATGGGTAGTCATCCACCAGAACCTCATCATAAGGAGTCCACCACGGGGACTTCTTCTTCCTTTTTGTCACCTTCACAATTTTCTTTGCCTCACCCACTTCATCTGCTCCCCTTGCCATATCAGTCACTTGTGTAGGCGTGGTAGCTGCAGGAGGTGCAGTGGCAGGTGGTGGAGATGTAATGGCACTGGTAGGTGTAGGTGTACTAGAAGAGACATTCCCTTGAATCCCTTCTGCAGCTCCAACACGAACACCCACTTTTTTGGAAGTGGTTCGAGGAGGAATGGAACCACCTTTTTTCGGAGCATCTCCTTCACGAGGACGAGAAGATTTCGTCCTACAACAAGAAGAAAAATGTAAAAAATTAAAAACCATAAAATTGCCAACATGTAAAAAAATTAACCATTAAACAACTATCTTAAATCTTACATTTTTGTACTTGGTTTCTCAAGTAAATAAATTAGCACAAAATAATAAAAGTTCTTATGCTGGGATCAGGGGCTTTGCTCGGCTCTGCCTCTATGTAAACCTGCAAAAATGAAAATTAAAGCAAACTAATCAGTAATTATTATTTATTAGTTAATAATCAAACAATTGAATTAAATTACTTGCTTTGCTTCATCAATTAGTCAATGAAAATTGAGTATTGACAAATGAGTGAAATGACAATTATAGTATCAATGGTCATGGACGACAGCTTTCCCCTATGACTATGAGTGTCGATGTAAATTGTAATGCAACTATGCAAGTTTCCTGAACGGGGGTTTCTCTTTTGCTTTCACTCTTTTCCAAAGAGTCAAAGACAACTTTACTCGTAAAGTCAACAACTATGGCCTATGTGCAAACATAATCCAGACTGCCCCCTACAGTCCCAATGGCCAATTCCCAAAGCATGAGGTCAACTGACTCGCTTGATGTAACCAATCCTCCAATTCCAATCAAAAGAAAATCGAGCTACCAAATGTCCAAATCATAGGGCTACCAATGTCCAATGGTATTTTAATTTCATTGTTTTATGAAAGTCAGAGATCACAGGCACAACGAAGAAGGGACGGACACTGGAGACGACGACGGCTAGGGCTAGTTGATTACCTCTAGCGACGGCGACGAAAGTAAGGGATCACAGCCGGACCGGAGAAGTTACCTCTACAATGGACGGAGACCGGAGACCGGAGACGGTGACGGCGACGGTCTCACGGAGTTCAACGGACAGCGGAGCGGCGATGAGAGGAACTTGTCGGAAACAGAGCCTGGCTTTAGGCTGCTGTTCTGTCTGCTGAGTCCTGTTCTCGGCGATGAGAGGAACTTGAACGGAGGAGGAGGGGTCGACGCCAACGACGATGAAGTGATAAGTGAACGGAGGAGAAGGGATCGGCGATCGTGGTCGTGGACTCTTTCGTGGTCTTGCAGCAGTGGGGGCAGCTTAGGATGGCAGGGCAGCTGGCTTTGATCGACTAGGGCTGGGCTTTTAGGGTGGGGTGGCGGGCTTGACAAAATCCCTTTTCCATTCGGTGTCGGATTACCGATAACCCGTCGGTAAACTGATTGCCCGGTGCCGGCATACCGCCAGCCACAAATTCTCTGCCGCTCACCGTTTTTTCCGGTAACCGGTTAAACCGGTAACCGCAAAACCGTTTGGCAGCCCTACATTTACTCGGAATTTGGAAGCTAGGCTGGAGCCGCTCACCTTTGAAGATCTTAGCAGTCTCATGCTTAGCGAGGAGATGCAACTTCGGCGCTTTCACTCCGCTGCTGGTGGTGCCGTCGGACCTCAAGCTTTCTTCTCCGGTGGATATAATTATAGGGGAGGCAGGGGGCGTAGCCCTCGTGGACGTGGCGGTCGTGGTGGTCACTTTGGTGGCCGAGTCTCCCCAGGTCCAATTCGGCCTCCTTATGCTTCTAACCCTAATAATATGTTTGAGCCCATTTCTGCAGGTATATTAAGTTCTGGGCCCTCTGGCCCAAAACCCATTTATTGTCACAATTGTGGGAGAAAAGGACACATTAGTCCCCATTGTCCAAGCCCGTTAATCCCGAACCAGCCCACACATTCTCCGAGCCCTGCTTCTCACCTTGCTCACTCATCCCACGCTGCCCACACCTCCCAACAATGGCTTCTTGATTCTGGCGCCAATCATCATCTTACCTCTGATCTGGATAATCTTGCGCATCATTCTGAATATAATGGTACCGATGATGTAACCTTTGGCAATGGTAATCACCTTCCCATTTCTCATTTTGGTTCCTCCAATGTCACTCTTTCTAATAATTCTTATGTCCTTCATAATATTCTTCGTGTCAAGGATGCTCCACATAATCTTCTTTCCGTGAGCTCTCTTACCCGTTCTAATCCTATCTCAATTGAAGTTTTTGATTCTTTTTTTTTTGTGATTGAGGACCGCCACACGAAGGATGAAATTTATCGTGGATCAGTCGTAGATGGTCTTTATTCCCTTCCTCTCAACATTCAACGCAATGCCCTTCCAAGTGCTTTCACTGCTTCTCTTGACACATGACATCAACGTCTCGGTAATGCAAACGTGAAGGCGGTTCAACATCTTTTGTCTAGTCATAAAATAAAATATCATGCTAGCCCTACATCCTTGTGTCATGGTTGTTCTGTTAGTAAGATACACAAATTACCTTTTTCCTCATCTCAATTTCATGCTTCTGCACCTTTGGAACTCATTTGTAGTGATCTTTGGGGTCCAGCAGCCATCCTTTCTTATGATCAACAATCTTATTATATTTTGTTTTACGATCACTACAGCAAGTTTTCGTGGATCTATTTTGTTCGTCATAAATCTCAACTCCTCAATGTTTTCATTCAATTTCGTCAACTTGTTGAAAAATTCTTTGGACTTCCTATCAAAATTTTCCAATCTGATTGGGGTGGTGATTGGTGAATATCAAGCTTTATCTACCTATCTTACTAATAATGGTGTTCTCCATCGTTCCTCTTGTCCTTATACACCTGAACAGAATGGTTGTGCGGAACGCAAACATCGACATATTGTCAACAATGGTCTTGCCATATTACATCAAGCACACATTCCTCTCAAATATTGGCCTCTCGCGTTTGACACTGCCTGCTATCTCATCAATCGTACCCCTACTCCACTTCTCTCCAATCTTTCTCCATTTGTCAAATTGTTTGGTCAATCTCCTGATCTTCAAAATTTGCGTGTGTTTGGGTGTATCTGTTATCCCTGGCTTCGTCCCACCACTTCACATAAACTCCAACCTCGTTCCATTCCATGTGTTTTTCTTGGTTACAGTAAATTGCACAAAGGTTACCGGTGCCTCGATCGATCCACAGGTCGTATTTATGTAAGTCGCCATATTCTTTTTGACGAGACTGTTTTTTCCTATTCCACTATCTCTGACCCATCCGCCACTACACTCATGGATCAATTTCTGGCCCACGATGTCATATTACCCAATCCTTATCCTCTTCTTCCTTTACCCAAGCCTGTCCCTACTAAAAGCCCACAATCATCCACTCTCCCAGGCCCACATCCTACTTCCCCTATTCCTGATTCGCCCTCCTCCACGGGCTCAGCCCATTCAGATGAACCAACCCACTCGGCCCAATCCACTTCCTCCCCACCCACTTCTCCCAACCCTACCCGCCCTCTCCTTACTTACCATCGCCGCCTGATCCCTCCACCAACCCGCCCTGCTCATTTAGTGGGCTGCTCCTCTTCAGGCCCGAAAACTCTCCCACCACCACAGCCAGCCCACTCCTCCATTCCCCGATTCACCACCACCACAACTCGTCGTCCCCTCCTTCAGTACCAGCGACGACCGACCTCCACCACCCTTCCCCACTGCCGTTCCTTGAGCCTTCATCTCCATCCACTGCCGCCTTACCTCATCCTCGCCCAACTCAATCCTCTCTTTCCTCCTGTCCACCCTTAAAAACCCCCCCCCCCCCCCCCCCCCCCGCGTATTATCCCACCTTCCTCTCCTTCTCCTCCCCCACGACGCATTGTGACGCGCTTACAGACTGGGAAGCTCAAACCGAAGCAATTTATGGCCTCTGTTTCCACTGTTCTCCCCACGACTGCTACTCAGGCTCTAAAATTGTCTCAATGGCGAGCCGCCATGTCTGCAAAATTCGACGCTCTTCTCCGCAATCGCACTTGGAAGCTTGTCCCCCCCCCCCCCCCACCACCCAATTGCAACATCCTCGCCAATCACTGAGTGTTTGCACTGAAGACTCATCCGGACGGCTCAATTGAGCGCTACAAAGCGCGCCTAGTTGCTCGCGGGTTCCAGCAAATTCCAGGGGTGGACTTCTCTCAGATGTTTAGTCCTGTTCTCAAGCCGGCAACCCTGCGCCTCATTCTAGGTATTGTTGTCTCTTGTTCTTGGCCTTTGCATCAAATTGATATATCAAATGCATTTCTCCATGGCAATCTTCCAGAAGAAGTCTATATGCAGCAGCCGGTAGGTTTTGTTGATCCTGACAGACCATATTATGTTTGCCGACTCCGGAAATCCATTTACGGTCTCCGACAAGCGCCCCGGGTCTGGTTCCAATGTCTGTCCTCGGCATTGATTGATTTTGGCTTCAATCTATCCAAGACCGATCCGTCCTTATTTATTTATCAGCATGGGGCAACCACAGTGTATATGTTGGTCTACGTCGACGATATTGTAATCACAGGGTCGGATTCCGCCACTATTTAGCGTCTAATGGCCTTTCTTCGGACTCGTTTTGCTCTTCGTGATCTGGGTACCTTGTCATATTTCCTCGGTCTGGAAGTCCATCATACATCTACTGGTCTGATTCTCAGTCAGCGTCGCTATATTCAGGAGCTTCTTCAACGGGCTGGTATGTCTGAAGCCAAGTCTATTTCTACACCTTGTACTACGGATCAGCTTCAGCAAAGTGCAGCGGATACTTCCTCTGCCTTCTCCAATCCAAGTTTGTATCGAAGCATTGTGGGTGGTCTTCAATATCTCAGCTTCACGCATCCGGATATTTCTTTCTATGTTAATCATGTCTCACAGTTCCAGCAAACTCCTACTGAAGTTCAGTGGTCAGCCGTGAAGCGAATACTTCGTTATTTACAAGGAACCATGAATCAAGGCCTAGAATTCTGTCGTTCCTCCTCTACGATGCTTCATGGGTACTTTGATGCATCATTTGCCTCTTGTCTGCAAGATCGCAAATTTATTACTAGGTTTGCTGTTTTTTATGGTGGTAATTTGGTTTCTAGGTCCACCCGCAAACAGAAGACCGTAGCTCGATCCTCCACCGAGTCCGAATATCGGGCGCTTGCCACCTTGGCCTCTGAAGTTATTTGGCTTCAGGCTCTACTTACAGAACTTGGCTGCCCCTTACCCACGTCTCCGGTTCTCTGGTGCGACAACTTAGGTGCCACGTACTTGGCTCATAATCTCGTATTTCACTCCCGCTCTAAGCATCTCGAGATCGATTTTCATTTTGTTCGTGATCGGGTCAACAAGTCAACAAGAGTCAGCTCCATGTTCGTTATTTACCAGCCGCGGATCAATTGGCAGATGTGCTTACTAAACCTCTGTCTCGCCTGCCATTTCGTACCTTTGTCTCCAAGTTTCAACTCTATGAGGTTTCACTTGCGAGGGCGTGATATAGCAGCCACGTATACCTCACCTTTCTCTCTTTTCTGTTAGTCTGTTTCCTAGTCTACAGCCACTCTGTTTTGGCTTTCCCTTACACTATGTTTGGGAAGGGGTGCAAATGGAAGGGGTGCAAGTTTGGAGGGGTAAACACAAGTTCCAAGGTGTTTACCCCCGTTTGGTTATTTTGTAACAGTAGGTGGGTGCAAAACGTGAGCGTAAATTCACTGTTTCGGCTTACCCCCCAAATTGGGGTGCAAGGAAAGGAAGGAAGGGAGGGGGAAGGAGGAGGAGGGGAATTATGAATTTTTAATTAGATTATAATTACATAATAATTAATATTATTAATTTTTTCTTATATCTATATTAGTGTAGAAGTTGTTTGGGGTTGACCGTTTGACTAAGAGAGCAAGTTTGTCAATGTTCACCTCGTCAAATCGATATCTCTTAGTTGACCCGAATTTGCATTGAAAATTAGAGATAAGAAGCATTTGTTGAAAAGATAGAGAGGAACAGTTTAGTTAACTCGATTTACTTTAATAAGTAGTTAAAACTTACAGATTCGAACGTGTTTGACTAAGTTTGACCATATTCAATTTAAAGTTAGACACGAGAACCCCCTTAGGATGACCAGTTACGAGTTGGATTTCGAGTTTCGAGGTTGCTCGACCAATGATTATTATTGTTGTTATAAATAATTATATTTGAGCATTATTATATAATAATTATTTTTATTAAAATTATTTTTATTTATTATTTTTATTATTATATATTGAATTTTCATGTTATTATTTTGTGATAATATTTTATAAATTGATAAATCTATTTTATAATAATATAATTACTTACTTTTTACTCTATTTGCACCCCCCTACTTTTTCATCCAAACAACAATTTACCTCTCCACTTACACCCTCCACCAAGTTGCACCCCCCAACAATTTACCCCTCAACTTGTACCCCTCTCGAACTTGCACCCCCTTGTTGCCAAACATAGTGTTAGGAATAGGCTGTTAGTAACAGTCCATAAGTGCTATATACATGTACAGATATTGATCAATAGAAATCAAGTTCTCTCATTCCATTTCAAGTACAAAGTTTAGGGTAAAGCCTATGGAAAGATACGGTAGAAATATAAAAAAAAAAAACCTTCAAACAAAGTCCTTACAAATATTAAAAAAAAAAAAACAAAAATGAAGCCCAAAACCCAGAGCTCACAAAGCGAGACCAATTAACCCTAAAGACAACTACCAAGACCAACCCTAGCTATCATCCCAACGAACTTTGCTCCTCCATCAATCGCCTTCTGATTGTTTCTGGTAATTGTTACTGTCTTCTTCTTTTCTTTTCCGCTCTGTCTTCTCTTCCAATCTTTAGGGCTTGGGGTAGCTCTCCCAGCCCAGCAGAATCCTATTACACTTTAAAATTGCACTAAACTGATGTCCGGATACTGCAGAAGGTCTTTCCAGAATGGAGCCTGCTGATGGATCATCGCCTGGACCAGCGTTGGAGGAAGGGATCGCGTCCGTCTTCAGCTCAGCCCCTGCCCTCATGGAGACCGACGGCTTCAGCAACAGACTTAAGGAGTTCCTCGACCTCCACTCCGTCGCAGGCAAGTCTCTACTCTCCAAACTGTTGTGGAAATTTTGAACATGGCGACGGCGAGCTCCTTGCTCTCAATCGCTCTGAAATTTGGCAGCAGGAGGTGGAAGGAAGGTCGTCTGCATCACATCTGGTGGCACAACGGTTCCGTTGGAGCAACGCTGCGTTCGTTACATTGATAATTTCAGCTCGGGCCATAGAGGAGCAGCGGCAGCAGAGTAATACACTCACCTTCGCATTCTATCCTCTCCAATTTGTTCCTTCCTTCTTCTTCTTCTTGAGCTTTTTTTTTCTTCCCTTTTTCTTACTTTTTTCTGTGTTCAGGTACTTCATTGAGGCTGGTTATGCGGTTGTGTTTCTGTATAGGATGTGAGAGTTTCTGAATGTCTTTATGTCAGTCTGATTGTGGGAGTGGAATACGAACATCAGCTCTGCTGAAATTTTTGTGAATTTTTCATGTGAATCTGTTGCATCCAGAGGAAGCGTGTTGCCATATACCCGTTCGCTTCCTGATGAGCCATTGCTTGAATGTCTTGAGCTCGATGATGACTCCAACATTCGAGGTTCGTTTCAAACTACTTAGGAAGTAATCACTGATTTGTAAGTATAATGATGGAGGTTTCTGCTGCAACATTTTCAGTGCGGAAATCATGTGCGGAAGCAGTGAAGAAATATCATGCTGTATGCATTATTGATCGCTCTATGCATCTCCACTCCGATAGTAGTCACTCACTTCACACTCTCTTTCTTTCTTTCATTGTGCGTGTGGGTTTGATTTGTGTCTCAGGCTGTTGCAGGAAACCTACTCATAAAACTTCCTTTCACTACTATATTTGAGTATCTTCAGGTGACTTCTTCAAGCACTCTTTATGCTTCGGCTTCTCGTTCATCTCTAGAAAATGGCTGTGCACAAGTCTGTTACTTTTGTCATTTTTTTTCTCCTTGGGTTTTGAAATGGCCTTTCTCTGATTTTCAGATTGAGTTTCAGTTATATTATTCCTCTCTTCACCGAAAAACTTCCGGTATTGTTTAACAGATGTTGCAAATTGTTGCCCAAGCAATGAAGCCTCTTGGGCGATATGCCATGCTCTTCCTTGCCGCAGCAGTTTCAGACTTCTACATCCCGTGGCAGAGCATGGTAATGTTTCATCCTCTTACCTCTTTGTTGAAACAGCAGGCCAGGAATCTCCTGCTTCTGTTCTTTATGGTCTGTTTTCATAAATCTGAGCACTCGTAGTTTCCTGATCAGCTTTACACCACTACTTTTTGGCATGTGGGTGAAAAATCTGATGTCCAAGTTAGGCTAGCAAGTAACTTCACTTTTCATTTCTTGATAACCCCAGGCAGAACACAAGATTCAATCTGCATCTGGGCCTCTGGATATGCGACTTGTTCAAGTGCCCAAAATGCTGTCTATCCTAAGAACAGAATGGTCCCCACTGGCTTTCTGCATATCATTCAAGGTATAAAATTAATTAATATAGCCCCTCTGTCTATAGCAATTTGTGTGAGTGAGTGCTTATATCTAGCAAAACTGTATATTATCCAATGCTCCGTTCCCTTTGCGTCTGAACTAGTTGGAGACAGATTCGAAGATTCTTCTGGAGAAAGCTGACATGGCTCTTAGAAAGTACAAGATGCATATGGTCGTGGCGAATGAGCTGCAGACGCGTAAAGAAGAGGTTATAGTCGTCACCTTGGATGAAAAGATCCCAGTTCACCGTGACAAGTCGCAGCCTGATTCTGATGTGGAACAGCCACTAGTTGAGCTCATTGTTGACAAGCATTCTACTTACATCAATAACCACAGATAGCTGATTCTTTCAGCTTTCAGCCTTACTGGAACATTCATACATGGGATAAACAAAAAAAAAGAAAGAAAGTATTCTGTGAAGTCTATTCTCGGATTATAATGGTTGGTTTTTGCTGTTGTTGTTGTTGAACCCCAAAACCATAACAAATAGGGGTGTTCAAACGGTTTGGTTACCATGGTAATCGTTTTAACCGGTACTATTTGGATAATTGGTTTGGTTTGGTTAAAGTTTTTAGCTTGTTTGGTTTAGGTGGTTTGGTTTGGTTTCAGACACTTCTAACCAGTCAAACTAAATTAACCAATTAAGTAATTAGTCATATATCTAACATATATTATATACACATACTTAATATTTTGCATAATCACTCAAGAGTTAACGTTCATCCCTTTTAGACTCATAAAATATAAAGCTCAATATTTCTCATATAATGTATATTTGTATATGTAAAATGTAGACCACAACATATGGATGCCTAATTTAGATAAATTTCTTACATTATGATGGATGAAATCTTGAAAGGAAGGTCATTTTCAGCCTATGATAATTGCTAAGAGACTAAGTCAATTTATACAAACACAACAATTCATTAACCCATACCATTGTCATAGATTTTTGTTAGGTGAATACTTCTATACTAATCGTGAGATAATTGTCTTAGTTGCATGTATTTTTGTTAAGGGTCAACTATAACTACGTGTTGGTTGTTATGTTTTATTCATTATATAAATTGCGAATTGTTGCATTAACCGGAAAATTTTCATCGTCAATGATTAACAAATGAGCTGGTTCCCAGCTGCAGTGAATTGTTTGCCTTGTTCTTCCACTGCTAACTTGCCATCATGTAACGTTGTCCTTCCAACTTTTTCGTTCAAAAAGAGAAGTAGCATCGGTATTCATTGTTTTATGTTCGGGTTAATTACAATGTAAGTATATGTTTCGTTGCATACTAAGTACTAGCGTGGTCCCCGGTCAAATGGTCGGAGGAAGGTGTGATATGAAATTTGATAATGTAATGGGATATGTAGTTTATTGTTGTATAATTTTTTTTGGAAACACGTGATAAAATAGTGAATTTTAGTAGGAAAGAGATATGAATGATGCAACGAATAAAAAATCAGCCTTATAAACCAAAATAAGTATCTGTTACCTTGAGAAACAATATTGTTTCTGGTAATATGATGCGATAGAGTAAGTTTTATAGAAACCGAATTCCAGAAAATCGAATAAAAAATCGCCTACCCCGCCGGTTTTCGAGAAATGAGCATCTCAGAATCGTTGCTAGCTTTTACTCAGCCTGTTGGCCGATTAATTTGCTTTATAAAACTTTCATCTTGTCATCATTGTGCTTTCTGGTTTTTTGCCAAGCCATAATAAAATCTAAAGAAATCAAGAATGAACAACACGATTTGAGATAGGAACCACCGTTCCTGTATCCCTAGAAAATGGTGGTAAACACGGACTCACCTGCCAAACAGGTTTGGATCGAGATTTTATTGGGTATCAGGGAACCATATGATTATAAATTAGACTTTATCAAAACGGGCCAAAACTTGAAATTCAGCATGTTTGACCGACCCATGCCAAACTCTAATTATTTTTTACTTTTAAATTTTCTATTTGAAAATAAAAAATAATGAAAGAATAGAGATGACTGCAATTCGCCATTTTCACATCACTGATTCGGGAATAAAACTATAGAATTTCGATAGGAAACTGAAAATGTTTAGGATCGTTTTAATGTTAAAAATAACCAAATAGATCTTTCTGTTTAGTTTTTTACTAACAATATCAAACGATTCCCTATAATATACACTATAATTTAATCATTATGATATCAAATAATTACATAATATATATTTGAAATGATAAAAATTGGACTAATTGGGTTGGTCGAGATTGAACCATTGAATAACTTTAAAATACATTATATTTTAGCCACTAAAATATAAAATAATAGCATAATATATATTATGCTAGAGAAAATAGCTTGTTTTAGAATGGCAAACCCATGATGTTCATTTGTTTTACTTGATGGGCAAATCCCGTGTAGGTCAGACTTATTCAACTCTTTTATTTTATGATTAGCGGTTAGCCCATTAGAATCCATGCATTAGTTTATTGTTAATTTTTTCTTTTTAGCAATAAACAGGAGTATAGTTTTTGCCTTTTCATATATATTTTACCACCACGGAGAAATAAAAGGACTTAAAGAAAAAAATTGACACTCCTGGACCCGTTTAAATCGCATGTGTACGCTAAGTTGGGTTGTTCCATAGAGGAAAAAGAAAAAAATTGACACTCCCTATTCTACCCTTCCTACAAACGCTCCTGGAGCAGGAAATTTGAAATGGGTGAAGAGTTTTTTCCTCTCTGCGATTATATGTTTTTAATTTAAAAATATACAACAAATGTACTTAGTGTGATTGGTTGTGATCTTTGCTTTTCTTTAAAGTGGTCATGGTTCGAATCCTGGTAAGTGTCTTTTTAATAAATAAATAAAAAGTAATTGTGAAGACCAAAATGTTCTTCCTACTTTCACTCTAGATGCAGGAAATTTAAAATGGGACTTCAAGTTTTCTCATTTGGCTTTTATTTATTGTGTAGATGTAGATTTAGTTTTTTTAGTTGCACTTAAACCATATACGTCGATTTTCAGTTGCAACGTTATATTATTCATTCTTATATTTAACAGCTTGTATCAAATTAAAAAATTTCACCTCAATTTACATAATTTCATTTCCCTCACATTCGTTTGGATATAATTGAATTAAACTTTTGGCTTCCTTCCAATGAAGTAAACTTTTTTTTTGCCAAGCAAGGGGACCGAATAAAAAAAAGGTAATGTCTATTTATTAGCCAAACCTTTTTTGGATTTTTTTTTATTTAAGTCACATCTATTAAAATACTCTGAATTAGCGAAACGTTTTGTAGCACGTCAAAGTATTAACCATTTTTACGTTGTCGTTAATAATTTTGTAACTTTTTTCTTAGTTAAAACACTAAAATTTTGAAATGTTGACCTCCAGGCTCCATGTGACTCTTCCAAGTCAGTATCACATTGCCAAGTCAATATTACTAACAAAATTGCTAACTAAACGATAACATTTGGCTAATTCTTAGTATTTCGATATGTTTGGATAATATAAAAGAATCTGAATAAGGTTTGGATAAAAAAATAGACATTACCATAATATAAAAGAATAAATTACCTCATTTATTCTGGCCGTTGAGATGGACGCGGACGGTGAAGATTGCATGGTGTACGACATACACCAGGCTTTGCCTGGTGTATGATATAAACATATATATACTATCTTTTTACCCGACCAGTTGGCCGGAGAGATTTATTTTATAATTTATATTAATTAACTTATTTATATGTTTAAATCATTTTGGATCTTCTATATTCATAAAAGAGTTTGTAGTATGCCTATATTGGAAATTTCCAATATTTAGCACACTCAGTTCTGATACTTTGGTTTTCTAATCATAAATTATGTCGCTGTCACGTCCCATTTAGAACTTATGTCAAAATTTGTCAACCAAAGCACTAATATTTAGCGTACGCCTACCTGAACCACACACACATATGCATATATATAGTTCAAGCTAGCGTGCGCCAGGAGTACGTTATACTCTTGCATTTACACTACCATACGACCATTGAGTTTTACTATTTAGACTCCGGTTTTTCGGGGGCATGATACTATACCCTAACCTCTAATTTATGCAAATACTTTGTCATACATATCTTCTATCGTATCTTGAGTAAAATCAAAAGATAGTATACCTTGATATTATATATATATGTATACATGTGTGTGTATATATATAGTAGACTCAAAATTATCTGGATACTTCGCGAGACCTATCTTATCTCGTCTAATACTCATATTAAAAGTGCTACTTGCCTATCCCCACCCTCGGGATAGAGATCCCGCTTTTACCCCCATAACGTCAGACAACCATTGGGGTTGTCTATCGTTTGATATGTAATTGTTTGAGCCTGGGAACCTCCTTCGTACGCCTTGCCCTCCTATCTCCTCAGCCCTCCTGCGTCTTGATCCTCCTGCACCCACACAAGCGCCTAGCGGACCGAGTTGGCCCGTTAGCACTCCGACGCTCAAGTAAGAACCTACTCTTTTAGAGAGAGAAGTGAAGGAACAGTTCTAGTAAGAGAAGTAAAACTGAGTAAATGAGGTTCACCTACTTGACTATTTATACCCGGGGCGCGGGCGACCGGTACACGTCGCTCTCGCCCTGTGTCAGGTCCGCAATAAATGCACCGTACCTTCCCCCGCACATGCGCCTCGACCATCTGACATTCGAGCCAGAGATCTTAGGCGCATGACATCACCCACTCAGCTTTTCGTACACTTACGACCGTTGGCTACTTTTGTCTTATGCGCCCTTCCTGGGAGTATGGTCCCACCTGTCTCACACATCCTCCTGACCAGTCAGACCCCTGTCCGTGCGCCCCACGGCCCAAGATCCGTACTTCCCATGGGCTCATCTGTGCTTCTCGGCCTGGGCCCATGTCTGCCCCCCACTTGCATCTCTCATTGGGCCTTTCTTATTGTATTGGTCTTCGGCCCATACTTACTCCCCCAACAATTGCCCCCCAGTTAGGCGCCTAATACCCTAGGTTAGGGGCGTGACTGTGTTTGCTGCTCTCCGGGTCCGCGCGCTTCTTCTGACTCTCATGCGCCTCCGTTGAAGTACCTGCGCCTTTCCATGTTTGGTGGCGCGCTTTCCCCTCTTGCTTACTCGCACTATCTTCTCTCCTTTACTACGTACTCCTCACTATTATTACAACTATTTTCTATTATTACTATGTATATATATATATATATATATATATATATATATATATTTTTATTTCTTATTTTATTCTCCCGCGGCTATTCCTCTTCCGCCTTTCTTTCCGCGCCATTGTGACTCTTGCGATTCCACTCTTTCCCCCCCAATCCGCTTGTGATTCAAAATTCGAATTTTGAAAT